CCCCCCCCCCCCCTACTCGCTTTCTCGTTTACTCTGCTACGTGTTTGTGTACATGCATACATATACACACTAACAGCAGTTCGTTATATATTGGCCTCCTCTTTTTTGTGCATTTTCTATTGTTTTTATTACCAACGGTGTGGAAAAGAAATCAGGCATCGACAAACGACTCTTCGTATACTGATTCTGATAAGAATAATCACTCTACGCACGACTTGCATTATTTAAAATTATTCTAATCTCATCGTTTAACATATATTTGATGCCAACATAAATAAGACTAATGAAGATATAAGTATCAAGCATACCTTTGCTTTACTAAGAAGATCTTGAGTTGTGATATTGCCAAGTGAAACTAATGTGCTGCTGCTATGATTTCCGTTATTCATTGTGTCAATTCATGTGACAAAAAAATATGAGGCGAGAATGAGAATAGAAGATTTGTTAGAATGAAAAAATGGTTTTAAATACACTCGTACATGAACATGTAGGAGGAAAAAAGAAAAATCAAAAAGACAGAGCGGGCTTCGCCACTTGAGAATAGCTATATAGTTAGATCCTCTTCTTTTGCTGGGCTTTCATCGTTGTTCACCATCAGTTTGTTCTATCTTGTTGTCGTCGTCGATGAAAAATAATCATTACCAGAACGAAGTGACTGTGGATGATATAATCAAAGAAATCAGTCAGCTACACATCGCCCTATTTTCATTTGCTCGTCTTTTTTCTCTAGTTTTCTTTCTTTTTTTTTTTGTCAATTACATTCGAAAATCTTTCTTCTAGAACTATTACAACAAGCAAAGATGATGATGAAGATGACGGACTGTGTTTATTTTCTTTTTCTTTCTTCTTTTTTTAGCCTTGATTGTTATATTTCTCTCTCTCTCTCTCTCTCTTAATTCGAACAAAGTTGAATATTCTTCAGTCATCTTGCTAACATCCGACAGGGGAAAAGAGACCGGATGCACACGCATACTTTCGTAAATGATATGCTATTGGTGTCGGCTCTTTTTTTTAGCAGTCTATCAGATAGATCCCGATGAGCAACAGTTCTATTTCTTTTTTTCCTACTTCTATTGCTATACTTTATCATCGTCCGAAAACGAGGCTAGCACATAATATACATAAAAGTGTCATAATTATATCCACATACTTTCATACAAAATTGAAAAAGACTAAAAAAAACATTACTTACTTTCGGATGTTTCTGACGAGGATAGGCCTGCTTTGGATCGATCTAAAATGAAATGAAAGATGAGTTAGATCAAATGACCGAAATATGATGTGTCGGATTGTGATTTTCTTTTCATCTAATGAAATAAGAGACAAAAGTCTTCATTAAATAAGGCAATAATATTCAATTGTTTTCAAATAGAATCGAGAAAAAGCAGTTTATAATCGAAATGAACAACATGTTTCTTTTCTTTAAAATTCTCATAACACAATTAAAATTCTTTTTCATTCTCTGGAAACAAAACGACAACAGAATATTTGATCTTGCTTGTGATTAATTATTTTCCTTTAAAAGCATACGCTGAAAGTTTCTAAATCAATTGATAAACATCTTTATTAAGATAATCATCTTATGTTGAGAAGTCATTAAACTAAAAGTTGATAGTCGTTTTTATGTGTTCATCTTGATAGGAAGAAAAAAATACCGAGAGATGACTGATTTATAATTTGAACTATTTTAAATTTATTCAACCGAAACAAAATGACTTCGTTCTCAAATCAAAAGAAAAAGTATTCATTTATACAAAAACACAAGAAAAATAAATAGATAATGGATCAATTGATTATTGTTGATTTTTTGATGATATCATATCTGTGAAAAGCATATATGCATATCCTTAAGCATGAACAATATATCTAAAGTTTCCGATTGATGTCTAATTAAAAGTATGTCTAGTCCCGTTCGAATAACACCAAAGGCGAGAACTGTTAATGTGTTCAATTATATTTTTAAAAGTAGCACAAAAGGAAATTAATGACACAAAGAATAATATAGTTTTTTATTCCTTTTTTATACTTTCAATTAAAAAAAAAGAAGAAAATTCATTAAATAAAGTTTCAGTTTTCTTTTCTTTTACTTATATTCATTTTTCTTATTTCTGTGAGAAAATATTATTTTCAACAAGATGGTAAGAGAGACAAAAATAACATTACGTACAAAACATATTAACTGTATCTATTGTGTAGCATTATCATTCTTTATACTTGCTATAGTTCTCTTTGTACTCTCGTCCGAACAATCGACAACATTGAATAATCAACAAAATCGTATACCAGTTATAATCAGTGCATTGATTATACTTTTACTATCAATTATAATATTCATATGGATGACTTATTATGCAATCGGGTATTTTCGTTTAAAAAACCGACAGCAATTAAGTTATGTACAAAATCAAATGAATAAAAATTCATCAGAAATAAGAACAACAACATCAGCGATTATTTTTGATAATGCAGCTTTTACAATGGATGATCCTATAGTTACGAATAGTTCTACAAACAATCAGACATCTGCTTGGTGAACAAGAAAAAATGAGCACGAATGCACGCATACATCAGATCATGCTTCCGTCGGCATGACCATTTTTCTTTATTAGATGAGAAAATGTTGTTAATATAACTGTGGTTGCGATTCTTCTTTATTCTGTTCCTTGCCTTTCTTTCTTTTTCTTTTGTTGGTCATACCCATCTTAAACTCATTTTTCTTCTTATTGAACCTACTGCACGCATTTCCTATTTGCTTCTTACGCGTATGTTTTCCAGATAAATATATCTCAATTATGGTCTCCACTATTACTATGGCACAGGATTAGAATACAAGAAACAAAGAAAAGCCGGAGCTATTTGCATTAAATCTACGGGTAAAAGTTGTTGTTGTTATTCTCTTCAATAATCTTTTTCTTATTCTTTTTTTTTTAGACTTTTAATATATATATCTATATGTCTATATATGAGAACATTCTTCACTTTCTCTATGGAATATTTTCTAAGTGGTAAGGCGTGACAACTAGAACTCTAGGCGTCTCTATTTATATGCGAGAAAAAACTTTCATCAATATGATGAGCTAGGAGAGAAAAACAATAAAGAGAAAAGTCTGGTAGTTAGTTGTGTATTCATTGTGAGTAAATAGTCATATTTCCTGTAATGGTCAATTGAGAAGAACGCTAAAAGCAAGATCTGTCTTGTTATTTTACTTTTACTGAGAGACTTCTTTGAGTAACTGTAACCATCTATGTTTTTCTTTCTTTTCTCATCATTAATTTTCAAAAAATAATAAGAAGTAAGCAAAAAAAGAAGTAATTCTATCTACATTTACAAGATAAAAACTAGAATTTATTTAGTTTAATATAACGACAGAATTCTGTTCGATGCCCAAACTATCTACGTTGCCTTGTAAAGAAGATTATTTATTTGATAATGAAGTTTCAATACGTAACGAATATATGCGTTTCGCTTGTATGTTCTATTCATTCATGTTATTTGCATTTGTAACAACAATATTTTTATTTCTATCCGCGTATAATTCTTATTATAATGAATCGGAATCCATTCAACGTCGTTTTATACCTTATTCTGCACTTGGAACAATAAGTCTCGCATTATTTTTCGTTTTTTTTATCGGGTCACTTGCTTATACAAGTAAACTAATAAAAAAGTTACGTTTAAAGCAAACATTTAATCAAACCAAACCGTTGACATGTTCGATGGGGAATTTAAATCAAACAACAACAGAACAAAAATCCATCGAATCATTTACGATGAATGCCGACAAATCTCATTATACAAGTACAAAAGATTTAGTTCAACAAAAGTTCCAGACATTAAATACATCTTATCATGCTTGTCAAACTGATGTATAAATAAGAAACAACATACCTGTTTTTCATCTAGCATATGAACTTCTTTTGCCAGAACTTTTTCAACTGAACTAGCATCTTTAAATGTGATGAAACCAAAACCTCTGGAAATGAATAATTGTTAATAATTTAAATAAATAAATAAAAAAGAAGATGATTTTTTAATACTTTACCTAGAACGTTTTGTAATAGCATCTTTCATAATCATGCATTCTAATACTTCACCATATTGACCAAAATAATTTTTTAAGTTTTCTAAAAAAACAAGAAAAAATAATTATTAAGAAGAAAAAACTCTATTTACGATTATATGAAGTAAATATTCTCAAGTGTATCTAATCACATGCAATTTTTCATTGCCTTAGAAAGTTTCAAAGGAATTGAAAGAAAACATAATAAAACAATTTTAGTTCATATTGAATCGGAACATAAGATCTACTATCAAAGTATTTGTTTGTTTCTTTGTTTTGAAAATATTCTTTATAGTAATAAATAAAGATTAGTAAAGCATCATGTTCTTTTTTTATTCACGAAATTAAATGTAAACTAATATATTAATGTTCCAAACATTTATTTCTAATTTATCTCATTTTTCAAAGAATCTTTCTACACTTGATGAATAGAATCAATGATTGAGGGGCTAATTGATGTCTGTTCTCTATGGACATGTTGATAATCCAAAATTTTCTTTCTATTACTATATGGAGTAACATATGATAAGCATTTCTTTCTTTTTGTTCTGTTTATATCTTAGTCAGATCAATATAGCGCAGGATGTTTCAAAAGATAATCGATTTGGTTTATTCTAATTTCTATGTTGTATACGACGCGCTAGCTATTGACATGCACAAGAAAAGAAAAGGATTTACTATTCATTATTTATATATTCGAGCCGATAGTTTTTTTAGTACAATTTGCTATGAAAGAATATTGTTAATATATGTAAATGAAAGTCATCAAACTTAACATTTTTAATATTCTTTCAAACTACCAAGGTGATTAATTCTTTCTAAAGCCTATTTGAAAATAAAATAGAAAACGAAACCTACCAGGTGTTGTTTGCCATGAAAGTCCACCGATAAACATTTTTCTGAATAAAATAAAAGTACATTTATATTGAAATTATATCAAAAAGTAATCATTAAGCAAGTTACTTGTCGAATGGTCTTGGTGAAACTGATCCATCGCCATCTTCTGATTGTGCATCCTCATCATCTTCAACATATTGACTAAATAATAATAGTAAAAATAAATGAAATATTATATTAGAGTTTTATCTTTTGTTTTTTTATGCAAATGGCATGTATTCTCTATCGAAATGAAATTAGAATTTGCGCTCAATAATAGAATTTTGAATATTTAGATAAGTAGTTAATAGTATATAATTATTATGATGATAAACAATAAAGGCATGGCAAGAACTGGAAAAAAAAGACATAAACGAATACAACTAGAAGAACATGTGTCTGTTTTTATCTTGCTGAATCTTATGTCTGTAAGTATAGAACAGATTTGACATTTTGACAGAGTGCAAGTAAGTATTCTCTTTCTTGAATGTAAACGTAATATCATGAAAAATAAAGATAGAGAAACAGACCATATACTACATCATTATTCATCAACTACATAAAACTGATGACGATTTAACACACTTTTTCTCGGTTTCTGTTCTTGTTAGAAGCATCTTATTTGTGTTCTTCTGATAAATAGTTCAAGGTTCTTCTTTTATGCTTTCAACAACTCACTGACATCTTTTTATGATTCAATTAGAATTTGAACTGCGATCGAGAGTATCATCGCATCGATATAAACATAATATATATATATATATATATATATGTGGGTGTGGGTGTGCCATGACGAATTGAAAGAAATCAAAAGGTTTTCTTTTTACTGCATATACTCAAATGTACACGTATCTACATCTCATTTGAGATCGAAATAAAAAGTCAAATCATAAAAAAAGGAACGAACATGCTAAAGAGCAATAGATCGAATGTAATTTTTTTATTATTATTGAATCTCTGCTGAAAAAGAAAAAATCAAATGTTCGTTATGGTTTGTTGAAAAGTGAAAAATATCAAAAGTATTCACTATCATTACGTATAAACAAGATTTATATTTGTACGTGCCAAAACATATTGACCTATGTATCTACTAAATCCTATTTATATTAAACTCAGAAAGTCAAACATAAATAAAGATAAAATCAAAAATATAAAAAAAAAGAATTCGATCGAATGGATACAATTATTTACAACAATGAAGAAACCTTGTATTTAGATATAGACATTAGAATGTCTTGATTTGATAAACTTCCTGTTCAAGTTCAATTTTATGACCCTCATACAACACGTTTATGTTGTGCTCAATCATCGCATTATTTGTGAGTCTCACTTCTTTTCCCTAAAAACGACGAGACACACATAGACAAACGCGTCTCGCATATAATCTACGGGTAAGTTGCTGACATATGTTAGGCGCGAATGGTAGATGAATAGGAACAGAGTAAAAGTGCCATTGACACAACAAGCATAATCATCACTGAATCTCTTGTCCTCTCTGATTCGCCTACATAGCCATATGTTCTAGAAGATTATCCCATCAGCTCTCTTATCCATCGAGACAGCAACAATATTAACAAGAGTAATTTAAAATGCCATAATAGCAGACAGATTTGTTATAGCTTACTTTGCTATTCTTTCGTTTTTTCTTCTAGACTTACCCATTCGATTGATATTGAGGAGGAGATCTGCCATTTACATGTGGAGAATAGTAGTGCGGTGCAGGTGTATATCGATAAGTTGATCTGGACGGTGCCGGTAGATCATAATGATGAGATGGAGATGAGAGTGAATGATGCCAAGTTGGCGATCCATATTGATGGTGCGAATAAGTCGGTGAATAAAAGGGATACTGCGGCGGCGGCAGTGGTGGTGCCACAGAGTCTTTCATTCTATATTATGTTCTACAAAATGACGGCTAAGGATAGATGGATGTCGTAGAATAGGAAAAAAAAGAAGAATAAAGAAAAAAAACCAACGATGTATTTGTGCTAAATGCGAAAGGATAGCGGCACGTGTATATGATGCCATCATCCCCCTCTCACCAAAGGGTACGCACACGACGCTAACACCATCACATAGAATGAAGAAAACAACACATACACGTTCGTTGAATAGTTGTGTACACACATGCGCGAGAAAAACGCACTAGAGAAAAAAGACTGCTGAAAAGCAAAAGAATAGAGTAAAAGAAGGTTTTCTGTCGCTCGTTTTTTCTTTCTCTTTTTCTCTGTTGTTTCGTTGATTGCGCTTGACAAGTCGTTTCTATGTCTATACAGAGTACCTCTAATTTTTTTTCTCACAGTTAGTCAACTGATAACAATCTACTTAATCATAAGATTTCCAATTGCGTTATGAATCCAATAGAAATTCGAAATGCTTACTGTTTCTACTCTTTACTTGAATGCTACAGCTGTTCTTGTTGTTGTTTGTTTCTCTAGGGGTATCGATAGAAGGCGTGACAAACAGAACGGGAGAGGGAGAAAGAAAAGAGTGGGATGAGAAAAAAAAACTACGAAAGACTTCACAAAGATCGATTGTAGAAAGAACAATTTTTCTTGTTCTGTTTCGCCTTCTTTCTTAACGTGGGTCCAATCGACGTCATATTACACCAAATACAATACAAACTAATCAATTCAATTATTATCGTCATCGAACGAACGAACGAACAAACAAACAACTAATACTAGATATAAAATGTGAAAGAAAAAAGAAAGAAGAAAAAGAAATTGCTGTACTTATTTCGAAAACCACATTTCTAAAGACGGAAGTTAATGAGTACAAATACTCTCAAGAAAAAACAAGTTTATCTATCTTTTCTATGATAAAAATTTGCCAGTCATGATAATAATTAAGTTGAATAAGAATCAGAACGAAAAATAATCATATCATTAGTCAATTGTAAGAAAAATACAACGAATATACTCATGAAATTGAGCTAATATGTGTATTGCACACATCATTCGACATCATAGCGCAAGAAAACAAGCGACCGAACGAGTCATCGTCATCATTATACCAGTTTATCGTCATCGACAAGCAAGAGTATTCCAATTTTTACCAACATGTCGTCATGACGCCATTTTGAGCGAAATTTCATTGCGTAACATGAACATATTCACTATGCCTCTTGTCATTCTATATAGATCATTGTCGCATAGTTAATCTTTCGATAATCTTTTCAATTAGTTTATGATTGATTTCAACAGTAAAATAATATTTCATTTTTTTTATTTTCGATTTGTGTTACTCTAGGTGTCATCCATCTACGGTCATTTATTTATGAACATCATTTTATATATAGTTTAGATAGATTGTAGAGAAAAAAGTTAAAACTCTTACTTTTCTATAGACTCTGTAGAACAGATCATAGATGTAGCCATTCCCAGTGACATTATCATCGCTTTCATTAACAAAGTATTCCTTAATATTCTTCTATGTTCGTCTTATTCTATCACAAGAAAATATGGTCGATACATAATTATTTGTTGTTTTACTCAACATCTATCGCAGTGACTTCGCTTGTTTTTTTCTTCACTATCTATTGTTTACTGTCTTTTCTCTACCGATGTGCATAACATTCACTTGATATGATCACATGTGTCGATGGTAGCATCACTATTGTATACGTATTTATGTGCCCTAACAAAGTTTCATTGGCCTTTTCATACGTTTCGGGTATTGTGATTCAGCTGATGACTGTAGGTGGTAGTCTAGGTTTTCTTTCTTTATTTTTTTTTGTACAGAAAATATATAAACGAGTACTACATGAGCTCAAAATAGTACAGAAGAAGAACAATCGACAAGAGAATAGGAGAGAGAATCAACAGGATAGTACCGAACGCCAACTACCGTTATAATAGTTGTGATGGAAGAGCAGAAGATAGCATAGACAACTGTTAACACTTTTATTACTATAAGGTTATTCATGAGAGAAGTGAACTCAAGAGAAATGGCTGGCCAAAAGACTTTATAATTGATGGCTCAATGCTTTCCTAGTTGAGATAAGAACATGAAGACAGTTTCAATTAAATAGTTTAGACTATCAAGTGAATGACGCAATAGGATAATTGATGTAAATGTTGAAGATACATTCGATACCAATATATTTCTTTGTGATACGTTATATCTGTAAAAAATGATATTTACGTAATAGGTTTCTTCTTCTACAATCAGTTTAATTTTCTATTAGAAGAATTTTTAATTGAAAATTATTTATAGTAGAGCAGTAAATGATTCGACGAAAGATAATATCATGAAGGATAGACCGGATAACAAATTATATATGACAATATGGTTAAAATTGTCGTAAAATTTTCAAGTAAAATATTGATTAACATTTTCTAACCTACGTAAATTAAGATGGCACCATTTTTTGCATATGTCAAGAAGTCAATTTGAAACTTTTGAAAAGACAGGATTCTACATAACCTATAAGAAAAATGTTAATATTGATATTAAATCGCTTTTTGTAACTTCATTATTCCATAACTAAATTTGTTGTTCTCAATTTTCGTAATATTTCTGATTAATAGATGATGTGTATCTTCTACTTAGATATGATTGTGGTTGATTTAAAAAAATATTCAACACGAGTCCAGATTTGATTTTCGAATTTCTTATACTGAACTGAAAAATATCGAGGTAAAAGTTCGATCATATGATAAACATAATTTAACATCAATAGTAATCGAATATTCAAAAGAATACATGCATTTAGTTCGAATTTATATAGTATAGTGAAAAGATTTTTCTTTCTACTTACGAATCGTTCATCATTTTGGTAGTAAAAATTATTTCTTTCATTTTACTAAGAAATACACTTACAACAGAATTCTCTCAGGCGATTCGGAGGTTTTTGTATTATTATTTATTGGCATAATGGGAGCCTAGTGAAGCTGAAGAAAGCCTAGAAGAATTAAGAGTTTATTGATTTTTGCCTTTGGATTATAATACGTTTTACTAAGTTTATCATTTAAAAGTAAAATTTGGCAAAAAATTTTCATTCTATACGTCAATAAAGTAGTATTCGTTGGTTTTATGCTATTTATGTTACTTTAAGTAGTATACGAATTATCTGTGGAGAAAATTTGATATAGAAATATCAGTATTATGCATTGCGTATGAATTTTTAGTTATAAAAAATAAATATAGCAAAATGTTTAACATTAAGTAGAAAAGATCATTGCAAATGTACCGCACTACACTTTTCTACTCACGAATGAATTGTACTAATGCAAAAAAAAACGATCGACATCTCGAGTTCTGAATGATTTGAAGTCGTGAGTTCATTATAAACACACGAATCGTGAGACATGACCAAAACTCTAAGAGAGCAATCGTGTAATCAATTTTCTTAATGTCACAGAAAAGTTTTGAAATCAAGCTGTGCATGTTTGAAACGTTATTACTGAAACATAATTTATTTTAATTTATCTATATTTGGAGTAGAAAAAATGCATACTATTCGTTTCTTTGGTCTAGTAGATACCTTTCTAATTTTACTCAGATTCAATTCTAATATTATATATTTTAGTATAAGATTTATATATATGAAAAAAACATGACTTTGAGTGCTTCAAAACAAATTCTGATATAGTTGTGCTGTAAAAATGAAATCAGATTCTTTAAAAGGGATTTTCAGCTTTCCGCTTTTTGGTACTGACATTTGAAGGAAAACAAAGTTTGTTGTGGCCGAAATTTGATTAATATTTTCACGTGAGTATATCGTTAATGATGCTAGATTCGGAATCAAATTTCTTTTATGTAATTGTTATCGATTTAATAAGCTTTTTATTTTGTTTTAATCTCTACTACCCACATGTTTTTCTCTCGTTGACATCTATATGAAAAGAAGGCGTTCATCATTAGAGTAATATTTAAATTTCAGGGTTTCAGGGTTATCTAAACGTCTCGACATTTTTTAATGCTTTGTTCAATGATGATATTTCTATTCTAGAAGATGTATTTGACACTGATAGCAGCAAAGACTACTCACTGTTTTTTCATTACTTTCATATTATTTCTTTCAATCTTTATTGATAAAAGTAAATTATTTTGTTTTATTTATGAGAATTACTTAGATTCTTCGTTTTATTTATACAGTTTCGACATCAGCAGGTTATTGCTACCAATGCAATTCAAGAAATCCATCATGTCGTATTGATGTTAATACTACAATTAGAATCGATGCAACACCATGTAATGGGCAATGTTATACACGTATAAATCGTGATGATAAAAATACTATTTATCGAGGTTGCTCATGGGAGCATGGTTTCATGAATCACCAAGAACCGAATACACTTGTTATAGAAAAAAATTCTGTTTGGATTTTTTGTGATACACCTTAGTATGTAGCTTTTGTCTCTCTCAAGGATGCACTTTTTAATTATTCATATACAATTTTTAGTTGCAATGTTGAAGCAACGGCTCTATTAAATAGTAAGTTTTATATTATGATGCAACAATACAATAGTTTTTATTGGTTTCCTCGTTTTTTCTTTTCTATTCTAGCTGTTTGTTTTCAACCGGTTTGTAGTTTTCTTATTTTTCCTCAAGATTGCCGATTGCCTAATGCTGATATAACATGCGGACGATTTTGTGGTAATATATTATGTGGTTCACGTCCAATTCGTCTTCATAATCGTAATCGCAACCGTTATCAAAATCGTAATCGTATTCGCATTCGTAATAGAAAACCCAATCGACGAGTTTAAAAAAATGAGAGAATGTTTTATTGTTTTATGTCGAATTTTCAAGTGAAAAAAAATAATAATGATTAATTTTTATCTAATTTCTTCTATTCATAATAGAATAATATTTGTTTATGAAAAGAGAAGTGCGCATGCAGATTGAAAAATGTCTTCTGTTATAAATTTGGCATGTGACCTTGTAAATTATATTTCCTATGGTGAAGAAATAAATATATGATAATTCTATGCCTAAAATGAACTAAAGAACATCAATGGTTACATCCGGAAATCTGATGTTAACCTATACAAACTAGAATCCGTAGAAGTAATGAACCGCTATTTAAAGATATTTTACTAATAAAGGTCATATTTGACACGTATGATAAATAGCGGAAGTTACAGTATTTTTGTTCCTACGATGGAATGCTGACGCTGACAGAAGAAAACCGATTAACTAAGAAGAAATCGGAGTCTTCTAGAAGTGCCCACTGGAGTCAATCGGGTTCGGATCTGAGAATTTTACCTATCAAGACCCGATCATTGGGTCTCGAGTAGCAAAACAATTTGATAAATGTAATCATATTTTATGAATTCTTTTTATTTAAAACATAGTGAACTTAGTTTTTGGTTCGTAAAATATAATTGAATTATCATATTTTTTGATTAGATCGGAAATTTCACTTCCTTAAAAGAAATTCATAGTTGTTCATTCTTCTAGTGTTTTCATGCATATAATTCAGTAAAAACAAATGTTTTTATTTATCATGAACTATGTGATGAATAAAAGACATATTAGATAACCTTTGTAATGCATACTTGAATTATTGTTCAACTACACAATATCACTTCGAAGTTCGAAAATAAAAAATCGGGCACTCATATAGTTACAGCAAAAAGCAAAAGATAAAATTTTATAATTCAAACTTAGACATCATCTCTAAGCGACCTAAATAATTCCTCAACTTCCTATCTCCTGTCTTAAAATATTGAAACTATGACTGGATTTCCTAGAAACGGAATTCAAGTTCCAGAGCGCATATCTGAGCTGCTAGATGCAATACCGCAGCTACTGGAGCTGTGCTTATGTTTTTTTCTGAATGTTCGAAAGCTATTTTCTTACAAACTAGAGCATACACCTAGGAGGCTTGGCGCCGTTTCTGACGATCTGAGCTATTCGTGTAGCAATCGCAACTCTGGTATTGCAGCTCTCAGGAATGCTACAAGCAATCTCAGAAGTGCTGGAAGCAACCTCAATAATACTACAAGTTAGCTTAGACTGGCCAGTAAAATTCCACTTTTTAGTTGTAGGAAACTGAGGCTTGATCATATAGTACTCATTCGAGATAGCAAGCTCATTAGCTGCGGTAAATATGACTATTCTTGTTCGAACTGACTTTTGGTACATCTGGCAACTGTGGGTGCCGTGAAGTATTTGGCGAGGAGTGGTCGACTTATATCGAGGTCTAACTTTGAATTATAAAATTTATAAATGGGATAAAATTTTATTTTTTTGCTTTTTTTGCTGTAACTAACGGGTGGCCCAGAATAAATGAGAGTCTCAGAATTTCGTTAGTATCTCGCTCGATTTTCATTGCACAGGATTGACTTTTTTCTAAGAGATGTGCCACTCAATTCTTGACAAAAACGCATGTCGAACATTTTTTTGAAGAGAGTTAAGGAAACAACGTTTTAAATAGTACTGAAGACGTATTAAAACGTCAACTTTCAACGATGAAAAACGGTTTTTGCCGGCTTTTCAATTGGCTAGCTACGATGGAAATAAAATAAAATAAACATTTTGTAGCCCTTGAAAAACTCTATCGATGGTTTGTAACTTTAAAATTGTTGTGCTCATCCTTGCGACATACACCGATTATTTTTCGTTTTTAGATTTTCGAAAACATAGCTGTTTCAATCTGCAATTTTGAAGCTCCTGTGAAAAGAAACATAACTAAGCCAAAGTAGCATCTTTGGGGTTCGGGTTTTCTTTATTTTGATGGAAAATCACTACTGTATCAGTTTCACATACGCAAGTTGACATCAAACTCCCTTTTTCAATTCAGCTGACAAAAATATCAGATTTAAGACATTTTTAATAGAAGTTTGAAAAGTCAGCTTCTTTAATTTTCGAGTGATTTCACCGAACTTTGAACTACGTGGCTAGAAAGAGTACACTCTAAAGTACTCAAAAACATCTTTACTTTTGATTTGTTGTGTAAGGTACTGTTAAAAAACGTTCTATCTTTTATGTTTATAATGGTTGTGAAAGTTGGTCGTTTTGTATGTGTTTAGTATAATTTAAAAATTTTTCTGCTTATCTATCTTCATAGAATGTTTTGATACGCGTTTGGTGAAGAATTGAATGGCGCATCTTTTAGAGAAAACTTCAACCCTGTACAATGAAAATTGAGCGAGATATTAATGAAATACTGAGACGTTCATTTATTCTCGGCCACCGGTTATATATATCAGTGCCCAATTTTTTATTTTCGAAGTGATATTGTGTAGTTGAACCTTCATTTATATTTGAATTCGAATTCGAATTAAGCATCTTATGCAACAAAGTGTGATGATACACCGCACATTGCATTTCTTAAAATAAAGCAATATTACAGATATAAAGAGATTTTATCAGCATTCATTCGCATATAGGACAACAAAGAAACAATGTCATTGTTTCATGATTAGATGCGTTCCGAGAATATCCCCGGAAACTCGATTAAGTGCTAGGGGACCGAACCTAGGAGATATAACAGATATAGAGATATAAAGCATATAGGGGCCTTAGGAGTCTAGGGGTTATAGGAAGTATGCGTGTTATAGGAGATATAGGAGCTATAGGAGATTGATAAACAACGAACAAGGCTCAAGAAATAAAAATTGATACAAGTAATATCTCCGAAAGAAAATTTTATTTTAGTTGAGATATAATTAAATAAAATTAGGAGATGAAAGAGAAGAAACTCCTACATCTCCTATATCTGCTAGGCTTGGTTCCCTAGTACTTAATCGAGTTTCCGGGGATATTCTCCGAACGCATCATATGTGTTTCATTTATTCATTCCTTGTCAGATGTGATTATAGACATATATCTTATTGTTTGCATTTACGACATCGGTCAAATAGAACGGATGAGTGTATGCATATAAATATTGGCTTTTTATTAGTTGAAAAAAAATAGATAAGTGAAAGTAAACATGATCAACTCATGTATTGGATTAAATGATCTATCTGATGAAATTCTTATGATTATTTTAAAAAAACTCAACAATCTTGATATACTTCCTTCTTTACATGGTGTCAATCAGCGATTTAATAGAATTATTCAGGATCCAAATTTTACAAGTCGTTTAACTTTCATAAATTGGTCATTATATAATTTTATTGATGTATTATCTTGTAATACGATACTAATTCGATTTTGTTTCCAAATTTTACCTGCAATTCATAATAAAATCAAATGGTTTGATCTTGAATCATCAACCATGAAATATGTTCTACGAGCTGCTCATTATCCGAATTTAGATAGTCTTGCCCTTTATAATATTGATGAACAGTCAATTCCATGTCTTTTAACTGGTAAGTAATTTTGAATTGAATTCTTTCTATTTTAAACAAGTCAAAGATTTGCGAAACTTATTCACATAGATAACTAGATTGTTTGAATATATATATATTGTCTTCATCGGTGCTTTTTCTTATTATATGGGTGTTTCCATGGGAAATATACCACTTTATACAACAGTATCTCCTTTCAACGTGAAAAGTTCAGCATTTGTAGAGCTCGATTAGCTGGTCATTTTGATCTATTTGGATTTCAAAATATATATTGCCGTCTATGATTTAGAAAAGGCAACTTTTCTGAACTTTCCAAAAAAATTTCAACCGATTTTTCGTCATTTTTCTTTCTAAGCGTTTAGTTTCTGATTATTTTTACTTTCGTATTTTTCTCATAATGCTAGTGTTGCTTAGTTTTAAAAGTAGTATACCATGCACTACTTTTTCGAATCCCGAAGTTATTTTAAGGTGCATTTCAAGAGACTAAACTCCTAGAGAACTGTATTTAGAAAAAATGAAACCCCTCTTATGTTTCGATTAAGAAAGTACAACTTTTGGAATTTCTCGGAGACCTGAAATAGCGGAGAAGACAGAGAAAAATTTTCTCTACAAAATGGCATACTTCGTTTCTCGGGGCGATGTGGTATGTTAAAATAAAAAAAGACATAAAAAAAGCTTTTTTGTATGTTTTCATCTAATTTTTCACGAGTGAAAGATCACGTCACACATTCAAAGTCAACGAATTAAGTTTAACTAACTATGAATTTTCGATGCTTAAGCCTAGTTTTACTAGAGATTTATTTTTGAATCTATAATTTTTTTCTTGTGTTTTTAACTTAGGCGAAATATCAAAACAATCTCAAAGGACAAAGAAATTCATGGATGAGAACGCGGACAGTTGATTATTATAGAATTGAGGTTATCGTTCATGATTGTGTTGAAAATCTTCTGTCGACATAGATATCGTTCGCCATGAAATTGTTTCATCTAGCTGAGGATCGAATTCATGATATTTTCGGATGCCTTTTAATTCAGCTAAAGGAAGATATCATATATTTTGTATCAAAGTATATATGGGAGAGTTACTTTTAGACGTGACCTGTCTCCATTTGTCATCTAGTTTTTTGCGAAACGTTTTGACGACTCGTTCTTTTGACAAAAAAGAACTTCCAATCAGTAGTGTCAAACTTGGAACTTGAATTCAGTTGAAAATAGAAAATTTCAACTTTCAACTCATAGCGATATATGTGTCAGTCACGATTCTTCAAAATGCTATTGGGTTAATAGTTGAAAATTGAATTCAAGTTTCAAGTTTGACATATATGCTTTCAATAGGATTAGGTTCTTTGAACCCCAACCTATCATTTACATCAAAAGCGAAACTCCAAAAGTCAAGAGCTGTTTCAAAATTAGCATTTGGATGACCTTGCAGAGCGGGATGGGTTGCTGCTGCTTTGACTGTTGCGCCTATCCCATCACAGGGGCCTTTCCCGTGCCCTGTTGCCGAAAACGTCCAAGCGGCTTCCAGGCCGCGAAGTCTTTCTTATGGTATAGCAAGTTCAGAAGGGTATAGTTGTTTTTGAAATGATTAGTTGCGTCGCCACTAGATGAAGAATAAAGAATTTATGCGATAGAAAAAAAGTCATAATGCGAGCATACCTCATGTAATTGATCTTTTTCACTTTCGGATATTGCTTTTTCACATACTCCACGATAGTTTCTTGGCCCACCATACAAACTTCGAGTCATGGTTCGTGTAATCACTAATTATTACCATGCAACGATGTTCTTTACCGATTTTTAAGTGAACCGTGAAAATCGTAGCTTGATCTGTGTTCCAATTCGCACTTTATGGTTCTCGTTGTCGAATAAATCTAGTTTTCAGCAAAGTCAATTTGCCCAACGATGTAGTTATCAGCACTCGAGTGTTCCCGAATGATTTCAATATGCTTGCGATGTTGTCGCTTAATGAAAGCATGGTATAGAAAAACTGACCATCGATTATCGATTTCCAATAGAAGGGAGGCCTTACAGCCAGAAATAGTTTGTAACATAACGTTGTTCTTAATTGTTTTCCATACTGTCCACGAAACATCTTCTTCTTCGTCCGTGCCATCATCTATTAGTAGACTAGACAAAGAAGCAGGACTTGAACAATGACTGCAAGCACGTGATGAACAATCTTCATTGTTCACATCGCAAACAACAGATCCAATAAGATCATTCAACGTGACGTTGTTCTGGGTTTATGAATTCCACGTCTCAAAAAGTAAACACCCTCATTAATGATCTAGTAACACTAAGTTTACCTTCAATAAGAGTGAGATGTTTTCGTGATAAATACATAAGCACACATTATGAGGTGATTCTGGTTTCACATCTTTGAGCCGTAACTGAAAAAACTTGGATTTTCCAATTTTTAAGGAAGAATTTTTGATAGAAAATAACTGAAAATCTTCTGATATCGTTATTTCCTTAAATCTTTTGCCTACCGACACTCCATTGATCGAGACAACGTCTTTTCGATTAGGTGACGGACGACTGATACCATCATGGCAATAAAAATTGAAAATTTTCTCAATCTTATCACGATCTATTGATTGATTTCCTCGAAAAGATGTTGGAAAAGCAAGTATTCCATCTATTAACCGTAGTTCAATAGCTGCTCGTGCTTGATGTTCTGTACATTTCCATTGATTCATTTTGACTTGAGTAAAGTTTATCAAAACGAGTACGTTCACGATAATAGCAAACCTTACATAAACGATCACCTTCATTCAACGATATTTTCTCCATTTCAATGAAACGACTGTATTATGTTTTAATGTTCCTTGCTAACTGAGCAGATATAGGATGATGGCCTCGACAATGAGACCGGCGTCTTCCAATTCTTGTGTCATCAGCATGACGAGTAAGATGTGGGCACCATGTCTTTGAATCAGTCATTTTTTAAATGTTGAACAATTCAGTTTAGAGAGATATATGAATATGAATAATATGATAAACCATGAAACAAATCATCTTCATCATTTATCAAACAAAGGCAATCAAATAGCCAATAAAAAAGGTTTTTGTGTCCTTCATTTCACAGAAAATTCACGATATGTTTGATCCATCTGTCTTTAATAGTTAGTTAAACTTAATTCGTTGACTTTGAATGGGTGACGTAATCTTTCACTGGTGAAAAATTAGGTGAAAACATACAAAAATGCCTTTTTTGTGTCTTTTTTATTTTAACATACCACATCGCCCCGAGAAACGAAGTATGCCATTTTGTAGAGAAAATTTTTCTCTGTCTTCTCCGCTATTTTAGGTCTCCGAGAAATTCCAAAAGTTGTACTTTCTTAATCGAAACATAAGAGGGGTTTCATTTTTTCGAGATACCCAGGTCGAACAGTCCGGTCTGGAAACAGCCGATTCCGAGTAGTTCCGTTGATTTTGTGGAAGCAGTATTCCGGTTGGAAATTTATCCGGTGATTTCCGATCAATTCCTACCGGAAAGCACCGGACCTTGGCAGGAATCCGCCGGAAAAGTTCTGTCGTATTTTTGACCGAAATACTGGTTCCATCTTCCAGTGATTTCCCGTGTTTTCCTGCGGGATATGGTGACTTTCCCGCATATTTCCTGGAGTATCCTATGGGACCCAGTGGCCGGAATGTTCGACCTGTGTAAAGATCTCTAGGAGTTTAGTCTCTTGAAATGCACCTTAAAATAACTTCGGGATTCGAAAAAGTAGTGCATGGTACACTACTTTTAAAACTAAACAACACTAGCATTATGAGAAAAATACGAAAGTAAAAATAATCAGAAACTAAACGCTTAGAAAGAAAAATGACGAAAAATCGGTTGAAATTTTTTTGGAAAGTTCAGAAAAGTTGCCTTTTCTAAATCATAGACGGCAATATATATTTTGAAATCCAAATAGATCAAAATGACCAGCTAATCGAGCTCTACAAATGCTGAACCTTTCACATTGAAAGGAGATACTGTTGTATAAAGTGGTATATTTCCCATGGAAACACGCACTTATTTCCAAACTAAAGTAAACATATGGAAAAGGTTTCGAACGTGGAGGTGTTATTCTGTCCTGTACGTGGCAGAGCATTTATACAAATATTTCGACCTATGGACACATTTAGTGTAGTGTCTACTCCACATATGATAAACTTCTTTAAACGAGATATTATGTTGCGTCAACGGACGCCATCTGGTTGTGTCAAATAGAATTATATAAGTGGCCCATCTCACCTATCCTAATATTATATGAATTATTCGATAGTTTCTGCTGTGCTGTTTATATTTAGTAGTTCTTCACTATTTCTTCTATAGTGATCTATTAGTAAGTAATATAATTGTTTCTCTCCTCATGAATAAATATATTGGCCAACAATTCAATGCCGTGATTGTAGATTTTGTATTTGTTTGAGACATATTTACAGCTGACTGATAGAATTGTTCTTGTCTTTCGTTCCTTCTCCATTGATTCGATTATATCTTGGATGCGTTTTCTGTAGGCAGAAAAAGATACGTCGACGAAAGAAAATTCATAATAAAAAGAAAAAAAACAACGATAGATTTTATCCTTGTTTATTTGCTCTAGATCCACATGCATTCGCTTATTCTATAGAAAATAGTAAGCTAATCAGTGTTCTACCCTATTTAAATATACATAAATTCATTATATTGATTATATATAGATATAACAGAACATAAATATGAACGTTGGTATAGCACAAGGTGAACGAAATCCAAATAGTTCATGGTTAAATAGTCGTGGTGTTTGGCTTACATATATAATTCTTCTCTTTGTCCTACACTTCATTCTACTTAGTATTCCTACAATAACAACACCTGTAGCATGGACTTTAACAACTACTATTCATAATGTTGTATGTTGACAAAAAAAATTAGTTTCCTGTTTTTCTATTAATTAAAATGAATAATTTTATTCTTTTTAGTGTAGCTTTTATTTATTTCACTTGATTAAAGGCGCTCCATGGGAAACAAGTGATCAAGGTTTAGCACGTCGTTTTACATTTTGGGAACAAATTGATAATGGTATCCAATGGACAGGTACAAGAAAATTTCTTCAAATTATTCCTATTGTTTTGTAAGTTTACTGATATATATTTTTGGAGATCATTCCTTAACATTCCTTTTCTTTTTTCAATTAGATTCTTCATTGCTAGTTTTTACACGAAATATGATAAAACACATTTTATGATTAACATGGTAACAATGCTTCTTGCCGTAATACCAAAGTTTCCCATTTTTTTTGGTGTTCGTTTATTTAATATTAATCGTTATTAAGTTAGAAAGAAAGAAAGAAAAGAACAATAGTAGATGATGATTTCGCAATCTATATGTATTTATGGTGTGAACATTTTTCAATTGATTTTTCTGTCTTAAATTTTGATAGAAAAAAAGCATTATCTATGTTTATATCAGTGGAACCGGCATTTTTTTCTTATTTCTCTATTGATCTTGAAAAGATAAAACAAGGGAAACAAAGAAAGACTAGAAATAAAACTTTGACCTTGTGTAACATATGTTCGTATAGATGAATATTTATCATTTATTTAAAATAAACCAAATCATTCAATTTGAATAACAATCAGTTTATTTGTTGTGATAAAAGATTTTTTAATATTAACACATTTAAAATATCTCTTCACAAATTATTGGATCAGTTTACTGAACACCTATATTGAATCTTTAAGGATTTTTTTATTGAATTACCTGAAAACATAACCAAGCTACTGACATTTATTTGAGTGTGAACAACACTATTCTATCAATATTTGAGAAATGTTTTACTTGTTTTTTTAACGAGCTGAAAAATATCTAAATAAATTAGTCAGTTCTGCATAAAAAAAATGGCCGAGCATTGTTCATTGATCAGTGAATTCGCTTTTGCAATCGGTGATTGAAATTCGATGTTATTTGCCGGTAAAATGCACTATCCCATAATTTATTAGTAATAAAAAAAATCTTTCGACGAAAAATCAAAAAAATACATACAGGTAAATATTAGTTCCAAATCTTTTTCATCTATCATCAAGTACAATTTTAGATAAATACGATTACAATATAAGATATATTTAAGCATGAAAAGTCAGAACGTGACGATGATGATAGATTTGTTCAGATTCTCTTAAGAAATCGATTCTTCAATTCAATAAACTCGAGGCATTTGTAAATTTCGTTGGAACCTTCGCTCAAGTCACTATTTTGATTCTATTATTAAGAAGCAGTACAACAGTGAGAGTCATCAACACTCATGATCGAAATAAGAATATAAAAGTAATGATCACGAAGATTGGCTCGACAATTAAATGAACGATGCATCTTACACTATTTGACTTTGCTCTATAGTAGTAACATGAGTATAGTTTATACTAGTAAATATCTTTTCGAAATCAAGAGCATGTATTATCGTCGAAAAATTGAATTTTCCTAGTACAACTCGAATGATAGAATAGCATACTTGCAAAATGCTTACATCTACAATGGATATTCCAAATTTTCTAAAAAAAAGTATTGGACGAAAATATTATTTTTTATTTTGTAGGGTCTACATTCTAAAAATATTCTATATCTTGTCTACTTATGATAAATCGTTATTTTATCAAACATAACTTGTCTAGATTCGATAAAATGTCATGATAGTATGCTGCTTCATAAAGTGTAAAAACTGATAAAGCTATGATGCAATATATCTATGTGTTAGAAACACATCTCGAAGTAATTCATTAGAGGATAATCAATAAAAATGATGCAACGTAATATACCGTGGCGAATGAAAGAAAGACTAACAAGAACAGTATATGTCAATTGATCATCTTGCTAAATGTTGTCAATATCGCCTTCTTTTTGCTTACTACTGACACGCCTCTTTCATCTTTTTTCTTGTCAATTCATACATTAACAAGAGTAATCTTCTGCTTCATGTTAATATGTTTTTCACTCCTCGTTTCTTCTTTTTTATTTTTATTTTTCATTTTTTGAACTTAATATTATACTCTACGCTGGAATAGTCACCGATTAGAAGCAAAGAAGAATGAGACATAAGTAGCATTTTTTCTTTTTGTAAAAAGTCACACTCGTCAGCTGTCATCAGCCGAAATGCAAGCGTTTGTTCTTTTCTCCATTCTAATTATGGCTCAATTATGTTGCTTAAAAGTTCAATTGAAGTATTTGTCAAAAGCTCAATACACCATCGTTCATACAATCAATCAAGCTACGTTTGGAGTGCGTTCGTTTTGTAGACAAATAGAGAACGCATGTCAAAAGACGATAATCACATCAAATCAATGCCTTTACTCTATCTATTTCTTTTTACGCTTAATCGCTATTCAGTTGGCTTGAGGGCGTGTTCTATTTCTTTTCAACATCAAAGAATTAGAGATCACCACCTCATTTTCGTCTACAAAGATCAACAATAAAATCAATGAATAGGCCGCACTTTTGTCACATCATCATCTTCGCTAGAAGAAGAAAAAAGCGAAGAAGGAGAAGAGAGTGCTCATATATAAGTTAGTCGGAAAACATAGTTTCTCTATCATTGAACATGATATCAACTCCAATGTGTTGTACATCCGACTATTATTCAGGTAGCGACATTGAGTATGATGAAGATTTTGTCAAAGCCGCTCCACGTCATCTCTCTTCAACAAACGAAACAAATAATATTTTTCACACACTTTTTCAATCTCGTCATTCACAACCTTCTACTACTTCCATCAGTCAAATCCAACAATCAATGAAATTAATCAAAGTAATGAACAATTCAAATTCTTCTCTCGGATTGTTATTTTTCTCTGTTCTTTTTTATTAAATAGTTAGCAAGGGAACATAATTTATCAAATGAAATCATCATTCGATCAAATGCAATTCTTCATCACCTTCTTCTTCTTTCAATATGTACAGATGAAATCGATGAATCAATATTTATTGCTTGTTTGTCTTTGACAACTAAGCTTAATGAACATTCTACTCATTTGAATACCGCATTTTTCAACAGTGATTCATTAATAGTAAATATTTTATTTTTTATGTGCTTCTTTTCTAATTACTATTATAATAATATTTATTTAGTCAAATGAAATGTTAATATGTAATAGACTTGATTGGGATATTGATGTGATAACATCAATCAATTATGTCGAAGCAATTCTACTTCATCTATTGAATTCTTCAATAAGAGATCGCCTTCGACAGTTGACTTATGAGTTTATTGTATTATGTTTAACTGGTAAGACTATTAGATAGAAGCAAATCGAGAAAGTTTAAATCATCTTATAATATTTAGATGTTCGTTGTATGGAATTGTCTCCTGCGTCACTCGGAATCGGTTGTCTATTGATGGCAAGTGAAGTAATAAATTGTTGGGATATTATTCCAAAACAAGTATTTGAATACGAACAAGTGAAGAATATTACGTTTCAAGTATATTTTACTCGAATGAAGTTTTCACAAGTTTAATATTGAATCTCTTTTTAGACGTCGTTAATTTTTATTCAACAAATTCTCATGAATATTCATTGTGAATAATTCAATATCATGGCTATTGTATATAATATGCGGCCGAAAGTGTTGACAACAACATTTCATAGTGCACAGACACATTGATTTATTTTTTAATTTATTTATATATCTCGTTGAAAGATTTTATTTCTAGTTAAGAATAAAAACTAACTTATATTTGTTTTTAAAATGACTGCAAACTTCTTTTATATTAATCTATTGAAAAATGTTCTTAAAATTTTTATGAAAATCATTGATTGGCTTTCTATCAGAGTCAGCGACGCCAATATAAATGTCTGAAATCGATTGAATTATCATTCAGCATTATACTAAATAGCAGGAGCAAGTACAATTAGGTAGAAATCATTGTCGAAGGAAAAACTTGAGTTTTCTAGCTTCTCATGATTAATTTTACTAACAAAAGGATCTTCAGTTCAATCTGCTAGTGTTCCCAATGATAGTTCTTCGCTAGAGATTTTTCGAATTAAGATTCTAACCGTAGTATATGAGGTCAACTCACTTGTTAGTATCTTTTTTTAAGGACATAATTTCTATCAAGTTTATACTTCTGCCAACGCAAATTTGAAGAATATAATACGAGTCTTGCCGCCTGTAGCTAGATATTATTTTTTATTTTATCTTAGCGGTGAGAATCTAAAATCCATTATGATTTTTTTTACTTTGGATTTTCTCTAGAGCAAAATAATTTTTATTCATGAAAGAAGATAAAATATGTCGCAGAATATTTTTACGAATAAAATAAAACGATGGTTTTGAACCAAAATTGCTTTGTTTTCAAATGAATTATAATTGTTCAAAGATTTTTACTGATAAAGCCAGATTTCACTATGCGATAGAAATAATGCCGGGTTATTACTGTATCGTAGTAATTTTTCCAGCATGGGAATTCTTGTGACGATAGATTTCGTTCCTATCGCAACATTCAAATACTTTACTTAGAATAGGAATTTAACGTTCTCTAACAATCAGCGACTATTGTGTAAAAGTAAATACAAAAATATGAATGAAATACAATACATGACAGAAATAGTCTTCAGTTTTGAGCTCTAGCAGAATAAAAGCAAAATTAAAGATATTTTCGCCGTTGGTTTCGTTGCCTGAATCAGAATTTGATGTGATTAGTATTTTCGAATATCGAATCTAAAAAACAGAGTTCGATTTGAAACAACCTTCTTCTAACCTTTTGTTTTTTATATTCTGATTTTATTTAAGAAATCAATATAATCAATTGTTGAAAAATTCATAGTAGATCCTTACCCAAGCAGACAAACTTTGGAAAAACGCGTCAAAGCACTCAATCGGGAACCACGATTGTGAATCATTAACACTCAGTAACGAAATTCAAGAAACGCGTTTTTTGCGCAGAATTCTCACTTTCAGAGCGTGAAAATAGATAAAAACTCCAATCATCGGCGTTTAAACGAATTAGTTTTTAAGTTATCGAATAATTGTGCGCTTAAACGTTCAGAATTAGAGTTTTTACCTATTTTCACGCTCTAAAAGTGAGAATTCTGCGTAAAAACGCGTTTCTTGAGTTTCGTTACTGAGCGTTAATGACTCACAATCGCGGTTCCTGATTGAGTGCTTAAACGCGTTTTTCCAAAAGCTTGTCCGCTTGGATATTAACGGGGATATTTGCTAAGTGAGAAACATCATACAGCTCGATGTTTTATACGTAGATTAGTAGAGAAGGTTTTATATGAAAATAAACATGGTGAAGTTTTTTCACGTATCAATATATCATTTGACACAACAATAAAAAGAGCTTCAACTGGATATAGCAATCGACTACTTATATAAGCGCATGGATGGAGAAACTATTAATGAAATTTGATTCTCTCTCAATACTCTATACGGCATATGAAACGAACTTTAGAATGAACATATAACTCAATTGTGTTGCAGTGTTGTCATCCTGTTCTCATCGTATAGATTTCTTTCTTTTTATGAAATAATTATTTTTCGAATGATTGCATTCAGTAGAATTATAAATGATTACTTAAAGATATTTGATATGATCAGACTTTGTACTTATCTATTTCTCATGTAATTTCTATCTGCCGTATTTTTTGGCAGCAATATTAAACGAAAATAAAAAATCGAAAATTTCTGTGTTTAGAATTTTTTATCATTATTGAACCAAAAGGTCTTTTTAAAGATTAGAATCACTTTAAATTATAGAACATTTGAAACTTAATCTTGATTAGAAGATCATTTGTTATAAACGAACTGTTTAATCAATATCTCTATACGCATCGATATCGATAATATAATTCGATGGTTCACAATGGATTAATCGTATTTTTTGTAAAACTTTTTATGGGAAAGTTCTCATCTTTTGATGTTTCAAAAAGTAAATCTTATTGTAGCTGGCTTTATATTACTCGTAATTTGTGTTTCTCGAAGTTATTAAGAAATTCATATCTCGAGTTCATTCTAATATAAACAAATAACTTAATAATGAAAACATATGTTTTCTGGATGATAGAAATCTCGTTCATGCTTCATAATCTACGCTACATGGCAAACTGTAAGACATTTATCTATCATGAAGATAGCAAATAAACTTCAAATATTTCTAGAATAAAATAAAATACAAGTCATGTATAAAATTCTTAATTATCATTTATAAAAATAGCACATATGACGTTTCAATTCGAAGTTATGTTTTATTTATTTCGTTTATATCATATATTTCCTAAGAATTTTTGCCGCATTGACATATGTTTTGGTAAGAAAATGTGTTTGTTTTCTTTCTGATTTTGACATTTACTAATCATTAATCAGTATGAATTTTCCGATAGGAATAACTAACAGACGAGAGTGAAATTCCAGTTTCTCAAAGGTCTCACTTACTAACACAAATGTCTATCCTTGATGCTAATACATGCAAAACAAATGCCAACAATTCCTGCATCGTAATCTTCAGTATTGTTTTTATCTTGCTTACATGACTGCCGTTGTGTTAACCTATCATTATGTACGAATTTTTTATTTTATATTCAAAAATGAATTGAATTTATCATTTTACTATTATTATTTGAAAAAATACAATTCAATAAATAGAGTGATCACATAGATATATGTACACGCAGACACGAAACATGAATATTTTATTTCAAAAATTCAGTCAAAATGAATATTATGGAATTATCGTGTCATGCATAGTTCATCCCTTACAATCATATTATTGTTATGACATCGGTAATATGATTCAACTATTATTTTTTAAGATCATGAATTTAGGCGAGTCTTAAAACGATAATCTTGTAAGAAAGATAAAAGTTAATGATTTATCAGAGATGCTTATTAATGTTTTTAGATATAACAATTTTCTCTCTACAAAGAAAGATTTTTGAAAAACTAATTTGATTGATATTCATTACAATTAACCCAAAACTTCATTTGTTCATAAGATTTTCACATATTTCAAAACATCTGCTTCGAAATGGAAAGAAAATAACATATTCTTTGATGTCACCAAGAATCATACGTATTCGTTTAGGTTAACATTAGCTATTTATTTCTATCCGTTATACTCAAATAATTCTTAATTTACCTGAAAGAAAAAAGAAATATTTATTCATGATATTTTTTTCAACTAAAATATTTGCATCGTGTTGTGTTCTTCCTACTTCTATATGCCTACTTCTCACAATTTTTCAATGGCAAGGACGCAGGTGACTTTTCTTTTCTTTTAAAACATCGAACGCTTTCTATGATGTAAAAAAAAAGAAGGCAAGAGTGGTAGAAAACAAAGCGTACATGTGTTTGCCACGTTGTCAACGTATGTGAGCAAGCAGTCAACTTGATCGGTGTGCATGCACACGGTGATTACTTTTCATTCGTGTCACATATATTGCGAGTCTATAGAAACAAACAGATACCCATGATAAACCACAATAGCTATAACGAAGTTACAATGAAGTTCATTGTATTCTTGAAAAAATGGTTATTACTGTTTTGGATACTATTGATCATTTGTATTACTTTGTATGCGATATTCAAATTCAAAAGAAATGATGAAAAATTAAATGAGGGTATTTGAAATCTTAAAATAGTGATCAAATCTATGTTTTGTTTCGTTTCGTTTCGTTTCTTTTTGGCTAGGTCATTTTTGGGTATTTACTGATGCACATGTTGATGCTTTCTATCGATCAGATGGTGATCCAGCTACTCGTTGTCGTAATGTATCATCAGACAATAGGGGAAGAATCATTCGAAAATTTGGACATTTTAATTGTGATACATCAAGTGAATTATTAAGTTCAACTCTTACTGCTGCAAAGAAAATTGATTCAAATATTGATTTTATTATTTGGATGGGGTATCTCATTGTACTCGTTTAATATTTTCAGAAATTATTTAATTTGAATTTTCTAGTGATGCAACAAGTCATTTATCTTCTGGTGCCAATACAATTTTAGATGTTAATCGAAATTTTTCTCAAGAATTAAGAAAAAAGTTTCCAAACACACCTATTATCCCTGTATTAGGTAAATTTATTATCTTTTGATAAAGATTTTAAAGGAAAGTATCTACGAATTTTATATGCTTAGGAAATCATGATATAGTCTTAGACACAAATAGATCCACACGTTTTATGAAATTTTATAATGAAACAAAATACAATTTATTACTAAACGATGCAAATGCTGTTGAAACATTTTTCAAAGGTACTTGCATAGAAAGAAAGACCTGATTACAATTAATCAGAGTCGATTTTGTTCCTATATATATATGTATATATATTCATTCTAGGCGGTTATTATTCGTTACGTTTCCGAACATCAAAAGATAAACAGCAAACATTATTACGTTTTATCGTACTCAATACAGCAATGTTTCAACCACAGTATAACGATTTTTTTGATCTACATGAACCTATCGAACAAATTCAGTATGTAGACCTATTAGTGAATGAATGAATAGGACTTTCAAAAGGTTGTTATTCAGCTGAAAGCGTATCGCTTACTGGAATGAGAAAAGTCTCTATGAGAAAAAACTGGTATCGTGTCTTAAGATAGTGTATGTGTGTTTCACAGCCTTGATTTTGTGATTATATGAAATCACTTGATTGTTAAGAAGTAATCAACGATAATGTCATTGAATATTCTACTTCTGACGATTTATGAATTGAACCCTTGAGAATTTCCTATTTTTTTGTAGATAAAAATTTGATTATTTCTCCAGGTTTTATCGTTCTGTTATTGTGTATAGCTTGATTCTAATGAAATAAAAGCAAAGAATGCTATAGTATCCCATGATAATTAGAATAGAATAGAAAATGTCAAAAAGACCTCGAAATTTGAGATTTGTAAGAATATGCGTGGAACAAAAAAGCAGTATAATGCAATGGATTTGTGCCATTTTTAGTTTATACATCTAATTTTTAAGTTAATAAAGAATTTCAACAAAAAAAAACATCAGAAACTTGCACAAAGAAAATCACGGTTCTATTATCAATCTTAGTCACTCGAAATAAAATCGATTTAACTATTATCATATTGTGCAAATCGAAAGTGCATAGTCTAAAGTCTCTTATTAAATTAAATTCATTTTTTAGGTGGTTTAATAAAACACTGTTGGATGCACATGATAGTCATGATCGTGTATTACTCCTAACTCATGTACCATTTGGTGTGAATGAAAATTTATTATACAAATTTTATGATTTAAAATATGAACAAAAACTTTTATCTATAATTGATAAGTATTCATCAAGTATAATAATGTGTTTAAGTGGTCATCGCCATCAAGATATTTTTCGTGTTTATTCGTCATCAAATACAACAATGGGCATAATTGGACATCCATCTATAAGTCCTGTTGGTTATTTAAGTCAACCATCAATTCGAAAATATTCATATAATAGACAAACACATACATTGAAAGATTACGAACAATATTCTCTGAATGTCAATGAAGCTGAACGTACACAAAAGGATCGATGGGCGTTGTCTTATCGATTTTCATCCTGGTATCATCAATCGAAAGAAATTACATCAACGAGTTTATTAAGATTAATTTATTTAATACGAACAAATCCTATGTATTCGAGACGTTTTCTATTAACAAAACATCAAACAGACAGAACTACATTGAAAAAACATCGAATAATCCAAACATTATGTGCATTAACATTATTTAATTTTGATGAATTTATACTATGCACACGAATATTAGAGAAAAAAAGTATTCAATATGATAATATAGATATTAATAATACATCAGAAAATAATTTTCATGTGAATGAGCAATTAATAGAATATAGAATTATTTATAGACGTGTTGCATTCAGTTTTTTTATATTTATAATTATTATATCATATTTTATTTATCGAATTCACTTGAAATTTTCTCACAGCGTCGTTGATTGTAAATAATAAGTTTTTATTCTTGTTATTGTTATTATTTTTCAATTGACCAAAAAGAAAAAAAACATCTAATTCTCAGTTCTTTATCTGTTTATCCGGATTTGTCACTTAGGCAAAACAGTTTATGACATCTTCGACCTTGCCAGTCAAAAAAAAGATATTATAGTAAACATGCTGTCCATGTGTTTAATTTTCGTCAGATTTTGAATCTAAGTATTTACTATGGTTATCTACAAAATGTGTATATATGGGCACATTTTAGCACTCACTACACAGCCCGGAGACATGAATAAATATGGCAATTCTTATCGCTCTGAAATAGATTTGCTGTTACCAATTTTGGAATGTCCATTTTTTGATCATTATTATTATTATTATTATTGCCAATGGAGCAATAAGAGCATTGTTGTCATGTAAATGATTTGTTCTTCAATGAAGTACATCATATATTGCTTAATCAGTTTTTTTTTCTGATTTAGTTTGAACTGATGGAGTTAAAAAAACACAGGAGATCGAGATTTGTCTTTCAACACGAATAATTTCTCAGTTCTACACATTTGCATGCATTTCTTCGATCGTATAGTATATTGTTTGTATGCGAAGTGGAAACAACTCAAAACTAGAACAGAATGAAATAACAACAACATCACCGCCGCCATTTCCGCACGCCGAGTAGATAATTTATTCTGAGAGATAGAGCGAAGATTCTCTCGAGAGAAGAAAAGCGTCTCTATCTCTGCATATTAGACCGCAGAACTGCATCAGCATTAAATAACATCGAATATTTCAGAGTGTTCTCTTTTTCAACAGCAACAACAACAATACAATGGTAAGTAATAGATTTTGATTATTCAACTCATGTTTCCAAACATTCATTTCTTTTAACTTAATTTAGACAGACGAAACAAAAAAATTTTGGCATGACAAAATGAAACATCTTTTTTATCTCTATGGTGTTTATATTCTTCATAGATCTTTTTTGATGCTAAGCATTCTTGTTGTTTTCTTCTTGTTTAGATGCTGATGGAGATGGTGCAATAACTCCGATTGATTTTGAAATTCTTGCTGATAAACTTTCAACACTTATCGGACAAGATGATAGCAAACGACGCGAAGATTATGCAAATGCTAGAAAAACTCTTTGCCAAGAAATCATGAGAGCAGATGTTAATCTAGATGGTAAAGTAACATTAGGTGAGACATTTTAAATAATACTTTTTTCTCTTGTTTCCAAAAAAAAGGAATCTTTCTTTTGCTCTTTTTGCAGACGAATGGCTTAAATTTCATGAAAATCTTGCGAATGAATTACGTAAACCGGATACAAGCCCTGAAATTTTAGAACAAGTATCTCAACGTATAAATACAACATTTCATATGTTGGATCTTAATCATGATGGTTTTATAGCTGTTGATGAATGGATTAAAACTTGTCACTTTTTTGGTGTTGATGAAAAAGCCGCAGCAAATTCATTTCATCAAATTACAAAATCTGACAAACTTGAAGAAGATAGAGCAAAGCAATTATTTTTTGAATATCTCAAATCAGATGATCCAAGTCATGTTTCGAATTGCTGTTTGTGTTTTCTCTGATAGTTGTTATCATTTATTTATTATATGATATCACGCATCACAATTAACCATTTCTGTTCTCGTCTTCTTTATATCCATCGTATTTATGTTGTCTTTTTCTTTGTATCATCTGTCGGTTTTAACACAGGATTATTGGTATAAATTGTACAAGCAATAACAATTGAAATATTCAGAATGAAACTAATCAATAAATTTATAACCATACTCATATCTTTTGTTTGAATTAGATTTGTTATTATTCGAGCTAAATTAGATTAAATGTTGAAGATAAGTAAATTAAAAGGATTGAAAAAGAAAGTTTTAAAAGATCCTACCAAAATTACTATAAGATGCAATTGCCCAACCAGTTCGACTAACTTGGCCTGCGCTTTTATTTGAAACAATGGTTCGTAATTGAATTAATTTTGATGAAGCACCAATAGGGATTACAAACATCTAGAGTCAAATTATTTAAAAAAAAAGTAATTAATTTTGTTATAAATAAATACTTACAGTACAAACACTCATCCATGCCGTTGGTAAAAAATTGAATAGGCTTATCGTTAGATAAAGGCAAAAGCTATTAGAAAACAAATAATATATGATACTAAAGAATGCATCGTGCTTATATTCACATGAATATTCCATATAAAGGTTTTGATTGATCAACTTTTTTATCTTTATCTTTTCTTGAATATTTCGACAATGCCCATAGAAGTAATATATCTAAATAGATAAATATTATATTAAATAGAAAATTCGTATTAAACAAATTTCTAACCTTGTACAAAAAGAAATATGTATTCAAAAAATGCTGATAATGGATAATCTCTCCAAAGATTATAAGTTAAAACTAATGTATAACTAAAATAAATAAGATATTTTTCATGTAATAAATAAATATATATATATATATTGATTATCTTACGCCGTTTCTTCAAGTAAAACAGATGAAACTGAAATACTATCAACATTTTTTGTTTTATAGATTCGAAGAATTTGTGGTACTTTTTGTATAAAACATAATATGTTAACTGAGAGACTCAAGAATTGTAAGAAAACCATTTATTTTAATCTAAAAGTATTGAATAGTTTCAGTTTTCTTTCAAATCATTTCACTGGTCTTTTGACTATCGAATTACATCGTTCTGCATATTAAAGATTTCTGTCTCTGTCTCTCTCTATCTCAAGGTCATCTAAAGAATGCGACATAAAAAAAAATAATAATAGCAAATTTTGTCATTGGAAAAAAGTTAGATACTCAAATTGCCAGCTGTATAACCACACGATGAATGTATTATAATAAACTGATTTGAATATTAACTCGTTGTGAACATGATCGATTGTTTGATAAAAGATTTATGCGATACATTTTTTTTGACATAAATTGTTTATTTGTCTAATACCGAGCATCTGCATATGTTTCTTATATTTATGTATATTATCATGTTTATTCTTCAAAAAACACAGTCAGATTATTTATATTGAAAATGTGATCATGGATCGAATATAGTTTATATACTCTGAAAAAAGAAAATATATTTTTCTACAAAATAAATAATATTTGCTTTTCTTTGGTTTCATCTTATCTGAATTTTTCTTCTAGTGAATCACAGCTGTTAGAATGATTCTGTTTTTCTTTTTGGTGTATCTTCTATTTCTGTGTTATCAGCATAAAATAAAAACGAACGGTTCACATGATTTTACTTTCGTCCTGCCTGTGTATCAAATACCACCAATAGTATTCGATGCAACATGTCAATTGTAATCCGTACAATACTTTGAGGATTAAAATCAATAATAAAATGTTGATTGGAGACATTTAAAAAAAATGAATGGTAGATGAGATTTATTTGATTGGGAAAATAATGTACAGATAATTTAGAATAAAAAATGTCTTTTGGGCATCAGTCATAAATGAACTTATTTTCTATATTGATTGAAATCTATCGTTTTATTAAATGGAACAAGCAGAATTGATTTTATTGATGATTTACGATCAGGGTTACCAAATCTCCTGTTTTGACCAGGGATCATCTCCTGATTTTGCAACTTTTTTCCTGGCAAGAAATCTCCTGATTTTTGTAATGTGACGATTAGCTTCGTTTTGAACCTAGAGCGATTTCCAAGAGAAAAGAACAGATTTATGGAGACGTTAAGCTTATATATGAAATGATAGGCGAAATCAAATGAGCGATAATTTAGTTGGAGCTGAGTTGAAGATTAAAATGAGCACTCATTTACGATGTTGCTAGATGTCGAACTTGAAAGTCTGGAAACTTGCGGGAGCTCTTTTCAAAAGTTGAAAAAATGCGGAAAGGTTTTTTGGGTCCGTTTGTTCATTTAAAGTACGTTTTACTCTAACGGATTCGAAACAAAAATACTCTTTATACATATATACAACATATATTTAAATACAAAAGTGCACTTCGAAGAAGGCTGCCTGATGTCAACCTCGAAAATCCAAAAAATTCCGGAATTTGTTTTTCGAAATCTAGAAAAAATCGAGAAAAGCTTTCGAAATCTGGAATTTTTCCAGAAGATGTGGGGATCTGGCAACACTGTCTATTTTACTTGACCAGAACTCTATGAGTGTCTTTTAAATGAATCAGATCTTTCGAAACATCTATTCGATTGTTAGATTTAAGTAGAGTCACGTCGCAAAAAGTGTCACGAATTGCTGAGTAAATTGGCTAAGTAGTTTTTACTATGTATTCTAATGAAGACGTTTTAACTATCTATTTAAATAAACTTTATGAAATCAACTTTCTATTTTCAATTTTAATTCGTCTACAAGGAAAACTTTCAGCATCAATCCCATTATAGGAAAAGAGGTTAACGCATCTATTAGTGAAAAATCGGAAGTTATCAGCTAAAAATCATTGAATGACTGATAAATGTCAAAAAAACACTCCTGATTTTTCACAAAAATCCCCTGATTTCTAAAATTTGTATTTGGTAACCCTGTTTACGATTGACACAAATACGAACATAATCCATCATAGAAAAACACAGCAGAGATGTGCTTTCTCTGCTAACAATTTCTATTTTTCTATTGATATTTATCATCATTTCTACATTTGGATTTTAGTAGTATCAAGTTGATTATTATCATCCCATGTGATTCAAACCGGGAAAAAACCGGCGGTTCACCGTTCGGTATAATGTGCGCTATACCGCCGGTTTTTATGAAAGTGATGTATCATTTTGTGCAGTATAAAAACGACTGAATATTTTTCAAGTCTGTTAAAACCGACAGAATCGTGTTGAATTCGATGCACATAGATAATGTCGATGTGCCTGAGTCGCTTGTAATAGCCACAGAGCTCAAATCGGTCCCATTTATGAAATAAATATTTTAATAAAGATGTCGCTGTAAAAATAATAATTCGCAAAATATATTCTGAAATAGTTTTGTTTCTGATTAATTCAAATTCTTTTCCCGAAATAAATCAGGATTTGAAAAAAAACGGTTTCTGGAAGCCTTTTTAGCCGGGACCGGAGCTTATCAGCGCTACCGCCGGTAAACTGCCGGTACACCGCCGGTTATTATGAGTACCGCGGTATACCGGCGGTAGTGAAAAAAATGTGCGACATGGGATCGCTTTTCTTACATACAATCTTAGTAATACTTAGGAAAGAAAGGAAATATCGTATTAAGCTAAATTAAGTACTGTTTTTGATAACGATTATTATTGTTAGATATAATTTAAAGTCTAGAAAACCTTGAAATAAAACTGGCATAAATTATTGTTTTGTGCATTGCTGTTAACTGAGTGAATATTCTTCGTTTTTGTAATAAAACATCGAATATAAGTATGTAAAAGGCACATCTATTATCCAATAGAGATGTAAATAGTCGACTAACACTGGTTACAAAGATATTTAACATAACATTCTCATATTGGCCCACTCGAATGATTAAGAGACTGGCAACCATCAACGTTGTTCATCAGAGAGAAAAAGGAAACATTTAAATTTAACGCCGTCAAGATCACTTTGAGAAAACCGACTATCATATATGATTTCGAAAATGAAAATAATATCTGCGGTGTTAAATCTCGTATTAGAGTTGACTCATATATGAACTATTGGAATCTGTTACAAATTCTAGCTGCAATTTTATATAGAACACATATCGGTGATGAATAGTAATCACAAAGATTCCAAGTTAAAAATGATTTATAACTAAATTGAATGAAACTGTATAAAAAAAGAATTACATTCATTTCCTTACTGCGTTTCTTGAGGTAATACAGATGTTACTGAAATTCTATGAAAACTTTCCTTTTTTTACAAATGTATTATGTTTTCTTTTAATTGCGTATGATTAAAACATCAACACAACATATATCAATACAAGCATTTTGATAATATAAAAATAGTGAGTTGTCTTTCTAAAAATAAAATTTAACCTGTCATATTCCACAATTTTGTATTGAATATTCTTCTGAAGATCATCTAGAAAAATTTCGACGAAAAATATCTATTAATTTTGAATGTGATCGATTTACTTGGCATAAATTGTTTATTTCTTATTATCCGTAAAGCTACATTTATTGTTGAAAATAAATAAGCGAGCTTAGAGATCAAATATAGTTTATCTAATATGAAAAAATTTCTTTATAAAAAAAAATGATAGTTTCTTCTTCTTCAATTTCTTCGTATTGAAATTCGTTCTTCAATGGATTGCTTCTTATTGCAATCAACTAATGTATTTGTCAACAAATAATTAGGAAATTCTATACAGATTATGTTTTTTTCTTTCTGATTACCAGTTATCATGAAACATACTACATGAAATTACTTAACTTTAATCAGTAGAATCTTGAATGAGACAACGATTTTAATATTTTCCAAAGCCCACAATTGATACAGTTTTCATAGAAAGCATTTGAAAGTGATATAATAAACGTATGGTGAAAAAGAATGACGATAAACGTTGGAAAACTAATGAATACGTGTTCTATTTTGATCGAAATGAAACTTTTTATCATCATATTTGCGTTTAGAATCTTATCGTGACATCAGTGATATTCTTTTTAGAAGAGAATATCTTTTGTCATTGCTAGTGTTGACTATGATAAATATAAAATCTTGCCTCAGTGTTCGTAAATATTGACTATTATTTATTTGGCATGATATCGAAAAATGCACACACTTCTTTCCAGATGATATAGTCTCTTGATACTCTTCCATATAGATATTTTTGGCACATTTATTGTTATCAATCATGAATCTTGCTATGAAGATGAACAAAATATGAAACAGAACAGATTTATTTTGGTGAAGATATTTTTAATGAAATCCATAACCGCAGTTCTAGGAGAGACTAGAACTTCTATAGCATGAGATGCCTAGTTCGACTTCGAATATAAATTGACATCTAAATAACTATTCACAGTTCGAAAATAAATGAAAAAAATCACGACCATTTAAAAACCATCGCAAAGCAANTGCTGTTTAAATTTTGCCGGGTCGACTGTTCTTTTTTTAGTGTATCGAGTTCTAATATTGATGCCAAAGAGTATGCTATATCTAGATCAGACATTGAGGAAAATCAGGCCTGAGTATCGGTTTCGAATTTTAGTGGTTTGAAGTGTTTCACTTATACAATATGCTTTTTGTTTGTTTTCAAATTTATTGTTATGAATAGATCAAATTAAAGTCTAAGTATAATGCAAACACTAATGATACGCAAGTAGTTGTTGTATAATGTCTTTGCTTTAGTTTAAAAAAAACAAATTCCAGGAAAATAAAAGCAGCACTTCGTCTTTAAGACAACACTAACGCATGTAATCTATGATTGATCTTTCCTCTTTTAACGATGTGTTCGTTTGTTTACTCTTATCTTATAATCCACAGTATACTATCATTATGCTGCAAGGAAATTTAAATAGTATTTCGACAATGACGTGTACTATTATAAAGAAGTCAATTATTTTTGCTTTTTTAATTCGAATATTTCTCTAGATCGATTTTATCCTACTCCATTTTCTCTGGCCATGTGGAACAGATCGTTTTCGAGAAGTGATGAAAAGAAGATTTATTCAGTTTTTTAAATCTTTTAAATACTACACACAACAATATCAATTATAACAGCTGGCATAATAGTACCGCTTGTATTATCCTTCATTGTAAATTATTTCAAAGATTCGTAAAGATTTCTACATATTCAAGATATTAAATTATACTTTCAAAAAAGAATCTAGTACACTAATTTTGTTATATTAGTATTGCTCAATTTTATTTTTTATGGAACAATCGAAACAAATTGATATTGTAGTTTCATTTAAATATGATAAATTACTCTAAATTCACTAATAAATTCGAGTAAACATTAATGCTTACTATTCAGGTAAGAACGAATTTTTTACTGTGTAATACAAAGCTTTGAATTGCATCGGACAATCGTCGATATTGAATAGAAATCGTTCAAATCGGTATATTGCAATATTTTTGAACAATAGATGTAAAATAAAAATAGGTCATTTTCTTGAGTGCAATATCGCTTCACCGAACTCTTTTCTAAGATATGATTATAATGACCCCTCAAAATAGAACATAAAAGAAAAATAAAGTAATTCCATTTCATCAACAAGCACTCCTCTTCAATCAGTTTTCTATGAGCGGCATATTATCAAACGTAAAAAATGCTTTGACAGTGAAAAATGACCGAAAAACAAGCAAACCATCATGCCATTTAGTAGCCCTGTTCCCTCTATTTTGCTTATTGTTTCGTCGTTTAGTCGAAAATTTTCTATCAAACTTTATATGAAAGATACTAGAATATTGTGAAAGAATAATCGGATACATTTTTAAAATTTTAAATGCTATGACAACTATTCAACATTAAAAATTGCTCAATAAAATTTGTAAAGAAGAAAGCTAGTTTTTCCTTCAATCGATTACATTGATTAGCAGAGATAAATTCAAATCGGCTATTTTTTTCTGATGAAGACGATATGCAATTCTTTATGTAACATATTCTATGCAAAAGAATTTGATTTCAGTTGATATTAAGAAATCAAAAAAACGTTTACGACAAAAATAAGGTTTATTTTCGTTCAACGCATTACGCACTCAAATAGTTCTAGTATTTAACATACTTAAACAGAATCAGCCATGTCTAATTAGATATGATGAAGCTTTCAAAATTCTTGACTACGTGTTCATATTAAGATTTTAATTCTTTTGAGAGCATTTTCCTGTGCTCATTATTATGATTGTTTATCAAACAAGTCAAGCAAGAATCTTTCTTCAAAAGATGTTCAATTTGAAACTTTTATCTTTTAAAGCATATTCATGATTCAAATATTTCTGTTAAAATAAGCACAACAAAATAAATTTACAATAGTATTTTGAATACCAATAGCATATTCTTTTTTATCGACTGAAATATAGATTTCGTTTTGTTCAACGATGCTATTTTCATCTATTATTTCTAGGTATTTTAAAAACTCTACACATATTCTTGTGATTCAGTCTAGTATTGACTAACATATTTTTCGGATCAGCGCAGAATGCTCAATCAGAATGATAAATTTAAGTGTCGAAATAGCCGTTGTTTTTGTAGACTGAGGAGAAGTAATCAAACTCATCTCGAAATCCGATCTTTGATTGGGTCTATCTATGTCGTTTTGTAGAAAAATGAATACACTATTGGATGCAACGAAAAGCGATACAAGTATATGGCCTATAACATTGATAATTACAACGGTTTTGATACTTCATTCAATCAGATGGCCAAAGAGAACAAAAAGAAGGAAAATCAACTGTCACCATTAATCGAATAGAACTTGTAGCCTATAATCAACGTACTGTAGTCGATAAAGTTACTGTGCTGTTTTTTTCCCATTTACAGTTCGACACAGAGCTTTTACTACGTATTCAGAAATGAAGGATGTAGACTTTTTATAAAAACTATAGTTTGCAAGGTTTTTGTTTTCAAACAAGTCTGCATAAAGGTTTTCTATAGTGTAGAAACATATAATGTCTTAACATCATTCTGCACTTTCATATTATACGTTCATAAACACTTAATATTAGTTATCTAAAACAAAGTTTGTTGTTTTCAAGTATGTTTCATAAGAGTATTTGAATATATATTTATTTATTCTCTAAACTTTCACTATGACAATCATTTTCCTCATTGAATCCTTTTTCTCACATATTATTAGATATTGTTCTTAACTTTTTTTCTATGAGCAGTGTGTTTTTTGGTTGATTCAATCGAATATCATCATGCTGGATAAAAATTGAAAAATAATTTTTGTGCACTGATCCATATGGTAATTAGACTGCTATAACTAATGGTGCTCTTTGTCTAAACTTTGTGCCTAAATGCGTTGTACCGTTCACACTTTTCTCAACATTGGGAAAGCAAAAGAGAGAGAGAAAGCGAGAGAGTGAGAGAGACAGCGAGGGAGGGAGGGAGAAAAAATACAAGAAAACAGTATAATCGTTTATCTTAAGCAACAACCTAGTTATTATAATTATTGACTGTCAATTTTTCGACTCGAAATAACATAGGTTTTTGCTTCATAATTTCTGTTGCAGCCATCCTATCTCCACCTTTTCCGTTCATCTAGATTTGCTCATCTATTAGTTTGCTAATTTTTTCTCTCTTTTTTCTCTTGGTTTTTAAAATGCTCGCATATAATATATATATGTCTACCGTTTCGAGTGTGACATTCACAGAAACGTGAAACAACAAGACTGCAAACGTAAAAAGGGTGTACTTTTAGTTGTATCTATTGATCAGTAAAACTTGCAATGATTTTCACATCAAATTTAATCAAATGTATTTTAATAGTGACACGTAAAATTTTATAACTCAAAACAATGCATTGATTTGAATGCTTTTTGTTATATTTTAGTTTTAGTTTTGTGTCAAATGCAATTAACAAGTGCCGGTAATAATTATGAGTTGAATGATCTTGATCTTGGTGATGATCTTTATGAAGCCTCGCCTATGCAACATCCTCATCTTCGTCGTCAAAATTATCGACGAGCTTCATTACGTTATCATCCTCATGTTTTATACAAAAAGGCCAGTCTTCGACCTATTATTGGTCAAAATGGAAAAATTACATTTATCGAATGAGATCCATTTCGATTTTCTTTACCATATTTCATGCATTAAGACTGAACTATCTATACTTTTGTTTTGTCTTAAAAATAAAGAAATAAACAACATGATGTTAAAACTGGTACTAAATATTGAAATAAAATAATCATAGAAATATTTTATAATCTTATTAATTCATCTATTAGACTTTTTCCATATCAAACCCTCGTTGTTTTTAGTAATAATAAGGATTTGTTTCATGACAAACATTTTCTATTAAATCGAATCTTATCAATTTTCTATTTTAATTTCTTCTTTCAATGACAGTAACTGTATTGAGACACGATAGTTTAATACATATATCCAATCAGATAAATCTTTCTTATTGAATTCAGCGAAATATTTCAATGAAGTTTTCTGATATTTTATTAAAACTTGTTTTCACTCGTATCATTTCTTTTTAATCTTGAAGAATTTGATAATATTGTCACAGACGAAGAGGCTAAAGTTCTTTCATGTTAGTGCTTTTGCCGTTGAATTATGCAGATTATTAACGTTAACAATCAGCAAACTACATAAATTTAGAAAACGTCTTGACAACTATATGATATGACTCAAGTACGTTAGCAAGTAAATATATATTGTCACAACCTTATGACATGCTGTCTCTAAGTAATACTCAGTATGGGGTATGTCGTTTAACTCAAGCTTGTATTCTAATGAATTTCTATTTCCCGTGGGGTCCGCCCATTAAATGTCATGTTGTTATTTTTACCATGATGCCCCCATGTATGAAAAATAGAAAAATATATGGTGTGTGTTGGTTGCCTGTCGAAATGATAGATACCAATTACATATTTTACTATTCTAAAGAATATTTTCTAAAAACTGAAATAATCTTCACTCGAAATGATTACCAATGATACAAAAAAACTTGTATCATTTATATTAACAGAAGTATTTAGTCTAAGTGGAACGGTGCAATCTGAAATTGCGTTGTTCAATTATTTGAAATATATCCAGAGTTGTGAAAATACATACCATTTGAATAGTTCCTTAGTTGTCTATATAGTACTCAATGATATTTATATATTTTGTTCATTTTGAATTTCAAAAAAATTGGACAACACCCTCAAGAATGTGAAACTGTTTATGGATCACTTTTTATTTAACATTCAATTGCAACCATATATGTGATATCCCATGGCGTGAAAATCGCCGCGATTTTGGTGATTTTCAAAAAAATCGGCGTAAAGTACTGATTAATCAAATTTGACAGAACAGAATGATTAAAATATACTTTATCGTAATGTTTATAGAAACAGAACGATTAATCGTAGGGTCGCCGAAAAATCAGATAGATTAATCGCGATTAATCAGAACTTGTGCTTTATTTAGGTAAACGGTTTTTGATAAATAATTGATATTTTGACATATTTTCACGGCAAATATATATTAGATCTATCAAATTGTGATTGTAGAAATATAATTATTATAGAATAACAGAATGTTTAAAACTAATTTAATGACGGTAGCATAGCGTTCATTTGATTGGGCGCCATCATCACAATGATCAACATTTTCATCGTTCTTTGCATTCATTAGCTGGCTATTAATTAACGATTAATTTGATTTTTCTTACATGTTTATTTTATATTACATCTATTCTTTCTACTGCAAATAATTGAGTTATCTGTGAACTGCCGAGGATCTTTCACGGATTTCAAGATCATGTTTGATGAAAGTAACTTTATCGTGCTTTTCAATTTTATTTCTTTCTTATCGCTGGCAATTTTTTTCACAAATTTTCTTGTAGATATCAATGATCTTACTGACTGCTCTACAACTCAATTGACAAAATCCAAAAGTTCTATTGCTGACTTTCAACAGCAATCAGCATCATTAACGCCACAAAACATGAACATTTCCGAAGAAAATGAACTGAGTTAATGATCTCATCCGTGGAGAAAATATTTCAATTTATGATAATCATATTATTCAATATATTGTATTTTTCGTAATTAACTTTTATTGGCGATTTAATGTATTTTCGTCATTTATAGTACATTTACTTATTTTGATTTGACTCATTTCTTTCACTTCGATTTCATGTCATTGCTATGTCAATTGTAAGTCTTGATGACTATTCGTGTGTTGAAACCGTGATTTTTGTTGTTATTTTTCTTTGAACACGTTCAATTTTTTTATCCTTATATGGTGCGTTGAATTTGACTTTCTTAAATAAAAGCTGATTCAAACGAAAAGATGTCACCAATAGAAATAAAATAAAATCGCGATCAGATTGAATCAAATTAACGATAACACCATGGCTTATATTCAACATAATCGGAGAATAAATCGCGATTTATCGTAATAATCGCTGAAAATATCACAAAAAATCGGCGATTCAACGCACGATTATCGTTTCGGTAAATCGCGATTAATCGCCAATTTTTTGCCGATTTCGAGAGCATGGGATAATAATAAATCAACCTTGTCGATTAATTTATTATAATACTTTCAAAGAGTTTTAGATTGATAAAAAAAACATGTAAACAAATTCACACCTGTCATATTGATCTTTTAGTGTAATCGAGCATTACATAAGACCCACCAAGGGCAAGGGGGAGCACTTTTTTGTTTTCAATGTTTTTTACATCACCTGATAGAACTAGCGATGCTGATTCCGAATCTGTCACTTTTAATTATTTTAGGGCCTATTTTGGGCACAAAAGTGTTAAACTACTGTTCGGCAAAAACATGCTAGAAAATGACTGTTTATGAAAAAATTGAAAATATAACCGGGTTTTTGACACTATATGTTTTTAAATTAATTTATTCGAATTCAGCATCCGATTGTGAGTAGAACTGACTATATTTTAGTTCCTTTTATTTTATTTGAAGACATTTTTTGGCGGCTGAACAAAATTGAGCTAATTTCCATTGGCAGTCTAATCTTGGAAACCTATCTCCTGTTTTGTTTTGTTTTCATAGATAAAATTCTCATTGGCATGTCATTCGAACCAACAACTGACAAAGAAAAAATCTGAATATCCTCATCTCGAAATAATCTTCTTCGGTAGAAAAAAATTTCCTTTATTAAAAGTGAAATAATGTTAACATGTAGTAAAAACTAAAAATCCTACAACTCCTGAATTGTTCTATATTTTTAGATAAAATTAATAATTTGTCGATGAAATTCAATGTAGTTTACTATTAAATTCTAAAGACCAGAATATTAGTAACGGTTACAGAGAAATCTTGATGGGGTGCAGGAAAAAACCTTGCTGTTTTCGTAAATTATGATCGCGAAAATGTTTCGATGAATACTCATCATTTGGATCTAATATTGTTCTTAATCATTTTCACGTGGGTCTCAAACATTATAACGGAGATTCAACATACACAAAAAACCCTAGTTACGCCATTACCTATTTACACAAGTTAAATAGGTCACCAATAGTTTCCAGATCTATTTTCTTCACGACCCTGACGTCTCTATCATCATAGCTCCCATCTTTCACAGTTTGCATGCCTATTTACTCTTCAAACTCTTCCTGGAACATCTCCTCGCTATCCAGAGTTTTTTTTTACACACCCATCGTCGAGCAACGAGTTTCCAAGGAATTGCACCGGTTAGACTACCTCGCCGTTTTCAGCGTAATATCATAAAACCATAATGAAAAAGAGTACTTTTTGAAATGTCTTTATGATATGTAAATGTTGCAACCTACTATTGAAATGTCTTAAAAGGAGTAAGGATTGGTCGTTGTGTATGATGCATTTCTTTACTTTTAATAAAGGTAATTTTTCTCCACTGAAGAAGATTATTTTGAGTTGAGAATGCTCAGATGTTTTCTCTATCAGTTGTTGGTTCGAATGACATGCCAATGAGAATTTTATCTATGAAAACAAAACAAAACAGGAGATAGGTTTCCAAGATTAGACTACCAATGGAAATCAGTTCAATTTTGTGCAGCCGCCAAAATGTCTTCAAATAAAATAAAATGAACTAAAATATAGTCAGTTCTACTCACAATCGGATGCTGAATTCGAATAAATTGATTTAAAAAACGTAGTGTCAAAAACCCGGTCATACTTTCAATTTTTTCATAAGCAGCCATTTTCTAGCATGTTTTGCCGAACAGTAATTTAACACTTTTGTGCCCAAAATAGGCTCGAAAATAATTAAAAGTGTGATATTCGGAATCAACATCGCGAGCTCAATCCGATGATATAAAAATATTGAAAACAAAAAAGTGCGCCTTTTTTTGCTCTTGGTGCGCCCCACTAAAACTCGTAGGATAGATTTAGAGAATACTGTCGAAAAATATTTGATAAAAATGAAGAGTTAAATCATATTTTTCTGTGGATCCGATGGTATATGAAAATCGTATACGACATCTCTAATTAAATGTAACGCTCATATGTAATCATCATTTATTGTCTAGCATTCAAAATAAATACGTGAATTTTTTACACATACACATAGACCTATGTTTTTACTATAGCAAACAGTAGCTTCTATTTTGATGATGTATGAAAAAAAATCTGTTTATTATATGTGCTTATGCTTTGTGCATTAATATCGATACATTCTAAGGCTTTCTTTGGTATCAGTAAGAATTATTTTTACTTTTGTTTATTCGAGTTTGTTCCACAGTGCAATAAATCTATCACAGTAATTACATATATTTAAATTAAACCTGTCACTGCCAGGACAACAATTCACTATTTGGTTAGTCACTGATTAGAATAGTCTTAGTTCGTAGGAAAAAAAACTCAACGACATTGATATGACATAAATCCAACGAAATAAAGGTCATTCGACAAGTGCTTATTGACGATTTGATTTATTTTCTCAATAAATCATTAGAAATTTCATAAACAAATAAAACCATCGGTTCTGTTCAAATATAATTAAATCAGATTTATATCGTTTTATGCGTATAGTAATTGAAATGAATGCTCGTTTTTTTAAAATTCCATTCTATTATCTATTTGTTCTCTATTAATCAAGATAATATAAATCTATT